GGACAGAAATAAACGAGAGAGAGAGAGAGAGAGAAAGAAAGAGAGAGAGAGAGAGAGAGAGAGAGAAAGAGAGAGATAGATACAGAGAGATAGAGAGACAGAGATAGAAAGAAAGAGAGTAGATGGGTATGAGGTGCCTTCGTGGGGGACAAAACTCACCCTAAGAAGCCTTTAAGAACACCAAGGCGGTGGTACCGCTGGTGGGGTATAAAAGTAGCCGCATGCGCGTTTCCGTGAAAAAGTGCGGCCCGCCTCCAGTACCGCCTCCACCGCCTCCACCGTCTACGACGACCCTCCACCCCCTTTTCGCGAGAGTCTCGAGACCCCCAGGACCCCCCAAGACGTCTCGGCTGGCCCGAGCTGTGGCCTTTTTCGAGAATTACCTACGGCCAACGTGTCCTAACTCTCTGCGATTAGCCTCTCCTCTTTTAACGTTGCCATCAACCACTTCTAGGAAGTGTCGAGGAGTAAAATATTCGTGCTATCGTCAGAGTTACAGTGTCTACTTAAAGAAAGAGAGTGGGAGAGAGAGAGAGAGAGAGAGAGAGAGAGAGAGAGAAAGAGAGAGAGAAAGAGAGAATCAGAGAGAGAGAGATAGAGAGAGAGATCGTTTTCTCAAGGAAAACATGATATCTCATGTATGAAATCGTGAATTAGAAACAAGTGATATCTAAACGGTGTTAGTGTCTTCATATAAGTATAGTTTGATATGTGAGATATATTAATAAAATCATTTCTACGTCGATGGACAGTGACGTGAGTGTCGATCAGTGTTGATCCAGGATCAGATCTTGTTACGGTAAAACGACATTACCGACCGAACACGGATTATCGGCTGAGATCGGTTCACATTTTAGCGCGCTTTTTGATTATACGTTTATACGAGAATTTTTCACGAGTTTGTTTTGTCTCTCTTGTTTCTCTCTCTCTCTCTCTCTCTCTTTCTCACTCTCTTTCTCTCTTTTTCTCTTGATATATATGTATATATAAATCTCTTTTTCTCTCTCTCTCTCTCTCTCTCTCTCTCTCTCTCTCTCTCTCTCCTTTCCCCTTTTTTCTGTCTCTCGTAACGAAAAATGCACGAGCTCCAATTATTTCTTGTCGCTCTACGGGGTGACAACAAATCCTGCTGATCTAATTGGTCGCTAGTAGGTAATTGTTCGGCCCCGATAATTGGTCCAATTAATTTGAACGGAAAAGTGCGTCGATAATCGTCCTGCATTCATCGCCGCGCTGGTTACGTGGACCGTGTCGGATGCGGGTTATAGAGTATCGTTACCGTCGAAAGGGCATCCGACAGCGAGAGAAAAATAGTCGAAATTGCGTTTCGAAGGAAGAACGGGTAATACCAAATAGTGGCGAAAACCAATCGTTTTTAATAATGATGGCCGTCGAATTATTTCACCTCTTCTGTTTATTTCATTTAACGCCGACGAATTACGTACGGGACGATTCGAAAAAATGTTCTACCTCATATATTCTACTACTAACGAAATCGAATTCTATGAAAAATGGAGAGAAAGAGAGAGAGAGAGAGAGAGAGAGAGAGAGAGAGAAAGAGACAAAGAGAAAGAAAGAGAATGAGAGAGAGAGAAAGAGAGAGAGAAAAAAACTAATCATTTTATTTCAATTCGAACTAATATCGTACATTCTCGATTTGTGTTAATAGTTAGTAGAACTACGAAAAAGAAAAATATTCTTAGCTTAGCTCGTCGTTAATAGACGCAGTATTTATCGTCCTTTCTCCCATCTAACAAAAACACAGTTGAACTACTTTGAAATTCTCTTGGCATACCAATTCTCACCCTAACTTTTGTCTTTTCCTCTCTCTCTCTCTCTCTCTCTCTCTCTCTCTCTCTCTCTCTCTCTCTTTCACTATCTCTCCCCCTCTCTCTCTCTCTCTTTCTCTCTCTCTCTTTCTCTCTCTCTCTTTTTCTCTTTCTCTCCTACTTACTAAGAGTCAAAAACTTTTAAAAATAATTCATGCAAAAGCTTTGAATTATCTTCTATTTATATTAATTTGAAAAACTCAACAAAATTCCGATTAATCTAATCGTATTCGATTCTAATCGTATTCGAGTAATCTAATCGTAATCGATCGAACATGTATCTAATTTCTACAGTTACTTTTAACTCTTATACATTCTAATATTTCCATCTAATCCTACGAGATGTATCAAAGAAGAAAGCAACATATAGAAAACACGAATCGTAAGTGGAACCAGCTCAACAAAGTGCATCGTTTAAGGGTCTGCAAAGGCGATGTATTGTTAGCCATAGGGGTGCTGGATCATATATATATACATATAGGGGGTTAATATATAGATATATATAGGGGTTTCGAGACTCCTCTCTCTTCTCATTTAGGGGTTCTTTTATAGATACGTCATGATCGATAGTTTCGTTGTCAGCGCTCGAAAAAGTGACGCGTCTCGCACGGTCTCTTGTTTAGTTCCATTCGATCTCGCATATTAAGATGCTGAAAACTTGTCGTAAAAATCAAGAATAGAACGTAGTGATAAATTATCGCATCGTGATAGTATCTGTTTCTTACTTTTTATATCAAAATAATTTTCGACTATCCCGAAAGAGAAAACAAAATATGTACAATATGATTCAATGTCACGAGATTTTCGCTTTATAGATCATTAATTTATTCATTTGTTTGGTTATTTATCGGCGAAAGCCGGAAGGCGATAAATCGAGCCTCGTGAGTAAACAAGTAAGATAAACGATTAATCGTACGTAAATGCGATTACATAAAAAACGTCGTAACGCAGGGTGACGCTATGCAATGTAACGTAACGTAACGCAACGGAACGGAAAGCGACGGTATTGGATGGGTCCTCGTAAATCTACGATTTAACGTCGAGTCGCGTTAGAAATCATTAGGAACGGTGTTAGCTTTATAATATGTATTCGAATCTTGAAGGCGACTTATTGCGAGAAGGGACGTTAAGAGAAAGTATCTCTCTCTCTCTCTCTCTCTTTCTCACTCACTCTTCTCTCTTTTTCTCTTTCTCTGTTCTAGTCATCTCACTCCAATATTCCACCCCAACTTTGCCTTCTCTTTATCTCTTTCTCTTTCTCTCTCTCTCTCTCTCTCTCTCTTTCTTTCTCTTTCTCTTTCTTTCTCTCTCGCTTACTCGTTCAACAGCTTGCACCCTCGAAGAGAGGAGCCCCAAGCATCGCGCAACCCCCGGTATATACTCGGTGCTAAACGCAACTACACGAGGGGGCCTTTCTGCCGTCTTTGTTTTCCCTTTCTTCACAGTGTCGTTTCGCAGTCTCGCGCGGCGGGGCGGTCGTTGAACGACGGAAGCAGGAAGGAATAGACGGGAAAGAAAGATAATACGACGTCGTCGACGTTAAAGGAAAAGGACACGTGGACGACGATTTTTTTAGTTCCTCTCGAACTATGCGAATGAACGAAAAGATTCTCTCAGTAGATGATCTGAAAGATCGAACGAGTTGATCTGTTTAAAAATCCGTGAATGAGAAAAGAGAGAGAGAGAGAGAGAGAGAGAGAGAGAGAGAGAGAGAGAGAAAGAGAAAAAGAAAGAGAGAGATAGAGTATAGTGAAGTACTCATGGACAAACGAGCGAACCAGTGATCGCGGCTTTACGATGTGTTACTGCGTGTTCGGTTTTTTCTCTGAAAAAAAAAACGAAAAAAATAGAACAACAAAAACAACAACAACAACAACAAAAAGACAAATAAAGCGACTGGCTAACGATGTAAAAATGCGTAACCGCGCGGTGATTTCACGGCAGGTCGCGATATAATCGATAATAATGGAATAAGTAATTAGCTCGATGGAACGGTGCTAAATATACGAACCAATAAGAGATATCTAATATCGGCGAGAACGTGTGGAAATCGATTAATATAGAAATCGTGTGGTCGATTACGAATAGTTCTTATTAACTATCCGAAACGAATGAACGAACGAACAAACGAACTAACGAACATACGAACGAACGAATGACGATGATGACGATGACGACCGTTAATTTTAGTTTTACGTGGTCAGATCCGTCGATATGTTTAATATAACCCATCGTAATTCAGCCCACAACCCTTTCCATCATTTCGAGTATCACCAAAAGGCAATGACGATGATAATTATTACCAATAAATTATGTAACGAGCGAGTGATCGCTTGTATATGCTTTCGAGATACTTATCCGCGTTTTAACGATCAAATGTAGAGTAATCCGGGTGGTTATAGTAGTCGTCGAAAATCAGAAAATTATATCGATAATCAATCTATTCCTGTATTTTTAAAACTCAAAGAAAAGAAAAAAAAATAGAGAGAGAGAGAGAGAGAAGGAGAGAAAGAAAGAGAGAGAGAGAGAGAGAGAGAGAGAGAGAAATCATAATCGATATGTAGAAGTTAGAACGGAATGAGAAGAATCTTCATGGAGATCATCGAGGAAGACATTCGAGGTTATCCGAGACGTCGGGAACTTTGGAGTAACGAAGATGAATCGTAATAAAAGTTCGAAGAGTCGAAAGAAAAGAATAAGAATCAAGGGACCATCACACGGTGATCAGAGTAAAGAGTAAAGAGGACGTTTGGCGTCATCCGGTGAGGCGTCATCGCTGGCATCAGTAGAGAGAGGAAGAGAGAGAGAGAAAGAGAGAGAGAGAGAGAGAGATATAAAAGAGAGGGAAAGAGATAAAACGAGAGAGAGAGAGAGAAAAAGAGGGAGAGAGAAATAGTAGAAGAGAAGGAGAAAAGCGAAGAGGAGGAAAGAGAGAGAGATAGATAAAGAGAGAAGAGTGCTAGATAGAGAGAGAAAGAGAGATTTTTCCCCACCGCTTGGAAAAAGCATCCCCCACCAGAGCGAGCTTTAGGGGTGCGAGAGGGTTGGCGGGGGTGGTGGCGGCGCGGAGGAAGAGGAAGAGGAGGAGGAAGAGGTGGAGGGACGGGCTGCGGAGGAAGGGGGTTTACCCGGGGTGGTCTCGGTGGTGGCTGGGGGCGGCAGCCTCAAAAATACACCGCAACCACACCGCGCGGCTCCACCGCAGAAGCCGCCATCTTCCACCGCCGAACCGAAACGAGACCGCGCGAGTTAAACACCCTATCCTACCCCGTACAAGTTGCCGCTGCCACCCGCCGAGGTATCGCCAGGTGAACGACTACCTTCGTCATCCTTGCCAGCAGTTCGAGAAACGTTATCAAGACGACCTACGAAGATCTCACTTCGTCTCTGATTTCTCTGCTGGATCACACAACTGAGTTACAACATTACCGTTTGGATCGGAGGATCTTGATAATCGTTATGAAGAAATCTTTTAGATCGCACAATTGAACGAATCAAATGACAATTCGTTATTCAAGGAAAAAAGTGATTTCGTTTATAGTGTCGTGTTCGGGAAACGTTTTTAACAAGTGTATAAAACAATTAGACTGCTCTCAAGTTAAAAGATTTTTTTTTTCTTTTTCTAAAAGGACCAATTTATTAGCTAATTTTCGTTTGCTTGTTTTTTTTTCTTCTTTTTTCTTTTTCATCACTTTTTCGTATTCAACGAATATTATCGTTCTCAATTGGTGAAAAGGGAAGGGTAAACTCGACGGACTTATTCACAATTCGATACACGTGACAACTGTATGTTTCGTTGGAACTCATGAACGCGGGCGAATTTAAGTGTAGAGAACTTCCATGCCTCGGGATATTCTCGATCCTTGAGATAATTTTGAAGTGTACGATTTAACGACGGGAAGGAAGTTAAAAGTAATAACGGACCGTTTCTCTAGTGCGTTCTCTATCGCGAAGAAAGGAAGACGGTAGTATTGTATATCGTTCGACGGGGATAAAGACGGGAAGAGAAAAAAAAAGGAGGAAGTTTGAGGAAGAAGAAAAAGAAGAAAAAGAAGAAAAAGAAGAAAAAGAAGAAAAAGAAGAAGAAGTAATAGTAACAGTAGTAGAAGAAAGAAAGAAAAAAAAAAGAAAAAAAGGAAAGAGAGAGAGGGTGGTACTTCCTGTCGATTCCAATAAAACGAATTTTCTCCGCGACTTGGCAATCGAGACAGGAGGAAGAATTTGCAAACGGATGCTCCTCTCCCAAAGCGAGATAATGAAATAAGGATCAAAGGATCCTTGGGGTTCGTAGGCCAAGTAAGAGCAACCGAGCAGCATTCTGTATGGCATTCGTTTCCGAAGCCAACAAATCTGTTTCCTTCGAGAGAAGCTATCATTCTTAATGCGTTCTTCCTGATCTACAAGGGTTATCAGTTTGATCGAAAGTATCAAACGCGTGCTTGCTCTTTTTCTCTCATTTTCTCTCTCTCTCTCTCTCTCTCTCTCTCTTTCACTTTCTCTTACTCTTCTTCTCGTTTTATTCCTCGATCCTAAATATCGATAAGAGAGATCCTAAATTCGATCGATTGTATTCACCAAGTGATCACTAGTTCAAAAAAAAGAACGTATCTTTGCTTATACGAAGTAAGAAAAAACTGATGATCCTGCTCTCATGACGAATCCTTCGCGAGATGTTGTCCGTCCCGAAGATCGGCCTCCTGGCCTAGATTATCCCGATCCTAGATCGGTTCGTGGTGATCATCAAGGACATCAAGCGATTCCAGGGAATCAAATCGGTGGAGCGAGAATACGTAGGACTAGGGCCTCTTCCTCGAGGAGAAGAATGCACCTAGCTAACGACGTGCCTCCTCAAGGTTCTACAAGCGGTAATCATCATTCTGATTATGCACTCACTGCTGATCTACTCGCTGAAAGGACGCTGGATGGTTTGCTTGCTGAACATCCTGGAGAACTTGTGCGAACAGGTAATTTTTATGTCATTAAAAATTAGAGGAAGATAAATTAAACGAAAAACGATTAACTTCTTGATTGATTATTTAATTCGAATTATTTTTTGATACCGATATGATTATTAATAAAAGTCTCGTGGCGATTCAATCTCATTATTGTATAATTTGTCATTAGATTATAATGACAAGTCAGACTCGTCATTTGTGGTCAAGTGGTTAATTGATATCGATGACAAATAGATCAATAAAACTATCTGTTTGTTCAAAAGGTTGTCCGCACGTGGTATGCACAGTTCTACCGTCGCATTGGAGATCAAACAAGACTCTTCCGGTAGCTTTCAAAGTAGTGGCACTTGGTGAGGTCGGTGACGGCACCTTGGTCACCGTACGGGCGGGTAACGACGAAAACTGTTGCGCGGAGTTACGGAATTCCACCGCACTGATGAAGAATCAAGTTGCTAAATTCAACGATCTTAGATTCGTCGGTAGAAGTGGCAGAGGTAAGTGAAATATATTGACTTTCGTTAAATGTAAATATTGAAACAATTAGAAAATAATTACATTAATTTGAAATAATTATAAAAGAAAAAACATATATTGAATTTAACTAAGAAAAATATTAGAACGGTTAGAAAATAATTATATTAAATCTGAAATAATTTTTTTAGAAAAATAACATTCGTTAAACGTACTGATTCATTTTTCGTTTTTTTTTTTATCTCTTCCTTTCTCTCTAATTTTTTTCTTTCTTATTTTATTTTATTTTTTCTTTTAAATGACCCTTCCTAACGTAAGATCTTAAATGATTCAAAAGAAAGATACATTAAGACAGGGGTGGTCCTAACCGATGGCCTCGTTTTTCCACCGCCAAAAAGCAAGTCCCATACCACGATACGACCATTCGAATCTTCATTTTTAATTCACTGGGTGAATACCACGGGACAGTAGCAGTAGCAAAGCGTGCCGTCTCGCGCGATTTTGGATCTAGAGATTTTTTAATTCTCCCTTTCTCCGTGTATCAATAATTCATCGTTCCCTTTCTTCCCTTTCCTTTCCCTAAGAAAAAAAGAAAGAGAGAGATAGATAGATAGATAGATAGAGAGAGAGAGAGAGAGAGAGAGAGAGAAAGAGATAGAAAGAGATGAAAAATTTTAGAGTAGAGAAAAAAGAATGGGTCTCCGAAGAGATCCTGAATAATGCGCGCTAATAATCGCGACCATTACGGGACGCTTAATGCAAACGTCGCGCGCATCTCGAAGAAAATCGCGAATAAGTGGGGCCTTTCGATTCGGTTCGAAGTAGAAGAGCAAAGTTTCTTTTTCTTTTGATTTTCTTTTCTTTCCGACAGTCCTTTCTCCGAGAAGGGTGAAATAAGGAGTAAAAGAAAAAGAAAGAGAGAGATGGATAGGTCGGTGGGATGAGAAGAGGAGAGAAAAGTGATAAAAAGAGAAAGAAAGACACGAGAAACGAGGCGTCCTTTAATTCCTTTAATTCGACCGAGTTGCACCCAACCACTACCACCAACACTACCGCCACCATCATCATCACCACCACCAACTCAATCCTCGATCCGATCCCTTACTACCACCTTTCAAGCTCAATCCACTGAGCTTCCTTCGTTCTCTTCTACGATCTCGCGACGTCGAACTTTCAAGTGAGCAGTCGCGAGCGTAGCCTGTTAACGAGGGGCTGTTCGACTTGTTTATGGCAAATTGGAAAAGGAAATTGCGGGGTCCGCGATATTGGGAATTCCTTAGGCCGAAACACCATCCCTTTTTCGGTAGAGAGTTGGACTGGTTTTTTAAGCGATGTGGTTTTAGTATAATTGATCGTTCTACTTGTTATTACAATTTATTTCTTCATTATTAACGATAGTCTTATAATGAAGTAAGAAATTTATGGAAATATGAGAAGAAACAGAAAAGAAGAAAGAAAAAAAAAGAAAATGAAAGAAAGATATTAAATACAAATTTTAGAAAATCGCTCACAAAAGATTCATTCAGCTAACAATCGTCGACTTTCCCAGTCGTTTCTAGATTTTTTTTCATTGAGAGAGCCACAGATGAGGATGTATATACATATATATATATATCATCTATATATATATATATATATATATATATATATATATATATATTATATATATGTAGGAAATCGGAACGATGAGACGAGTAGTATGGGTAGGTGCCTACGTGAAAGAGCGGAGGTAGAGTGGTTGGCTGTAAGCGGCTTTGGTTTCCATGGCAGTAAGCCCTCATTACTGTATTACGGGCAGCCCTTAACTACCGTCGGTACGCAACGATTTGCCTCTATAACCTTTATGGTAGAGGTGGATCATTCAAGATCGTTAGTGCATCGCTAAACGTGGATACCTTGCTCGCGAGATCGCCTTCTCTGATCTCTCCGTTATTCTCGCGAAACTGAACTCTCGATCACACGTGATTAGATATTCTCTTTTTTACTTTTGTTTCTAATTTTTTTTATTTTATTTTGTTTTTTATTTTATTTTTTTTTATTTCCTTTTTATATTAACTTTCTTTTTCTCTCCTTTTTGTTTTTTTTTTGTTTTATTTCGTTTTGTTTATTAAGTTTTTTTTCCATGGAATAAATGAAGAATATATTTTTGTACGAAAGTAAACGTATTGCAATAAAATATTTTTATACACTGCGACAATGAAATATTGTTACGTATTTACTCTCTGAAATATTGTTACACGAAATAAAAATGAAATGATTACATCGTAGCGCACGATTGTTAAGTAAAACGAGAAATTGTCGACTGTCCATCGACGAGTTCGTCGTACATAGCGCATAATTACACTCGCACCCTTTTATACGGAGATTTCGCGTGTATTTTTGCGAGGTGCTGTCTCTCTCCTTTCTCTCTTTTTCTTTCTCTCTCTCTCTCTCTCTCTCTCTCCCTTCCTCTTTATCTGTCTATCTGTCTATCTATCTCTTTCCTACTTCATTTCCCAGTTGTTGTTTTCCGCGCGGGATATGAGAATGGACTGGTCTTTTTTTTAAGGCAAATATTTGGTCCATCCTTGCTCGCGGCTTTTGTGAGACAAATTTAATATCACGAATCTGAACGATAAATGATTATTGCCCAGGAATGACGCCCGCTGAAATATCAAAACCGATTCGGCATCGCTCTGTGCCAGCTCTCTTTTGTACTTCATTTTCGCGAGCTGTAAATAATGGACGGACTTTAATAGCACCCTACTCTAGCGTCTCTTTTACAATTTCGTAGTTTTACAAAATTCTCTCGCGTAGCATACGGGATAAACGAGAAAGAGAGACAAAGAGAGAGAGAGAGAGAGAGAGAGAGAGAGAGAGAGATAGAAATTGAAGAAGTGAACTTCGTTTATAGGCAGATAAAAGAGAAAACAAAAATAGAGAAAAAAGAAAAGCAAACGTTAGGTGAAAAAATTGATGAAGCAAAGGTATTTTATAGGAAGTAATAGAAATTGTTGAAAAATTAGTATAAAAAAAGGAAAGTTAGGGCGCGATATCGTCGATGTCTCGTCGCACGCGTGGGCATAACGAGCATGTACGTTGAGCGAAACAGAGTGAGAGAGAGAGAGATAGATAGATAGATAGATAGATAGATAGAGAGAGAGAGAGAGAGAGTGACAGAGAGAGAGAGAGAGAGAGACAGAGAGAGAGAGAGAGAGAGAGAGAGAAAGAGAGCGTAGGAAGAGGGTTCGTGGGTGGAGGAATATTATCATACCGGCGCAGGGGCGTATATCACTCGGCCACCCCTTTTGCTATCCCGGACAGGGATTAGCGTCAACCTCCGACTGCTAGGAGTCACGGGCCGTTCGCGTCGAGACGCGCCGTCGGTCTTCTCATCGTCCTATTTGTACGTATATGTGTATACGTATATGTATGTAGTGTTCTACGTAGTTAAGTGTGTGCGTATGAGTGAGTGAGTGAACGAGTGAGTTTCTCTATCTTTCTCTTCATATGTAGATATATATCCATAGTGTCCCTACGTTCGACCCAACGACGCCCGTAAAAACGACGGACATAAATACCGGAGTTACCTGTGTTTTATGACGGTTCGACCGAGGTACGAGCAGGAAGAGAGCAAAGAAAAAAAGAAAAGAGAGAGAAAGAGAGGGAGAGAGCGAGAGAGAGAGAGAGATAGAAAGAGAGATAGATAGAGATAGAGATAGAAAAAAGCGAGAGAAAACGTGGACTATCGACAGGCAGATCCTGACCGATGTCCTGCTGCAATGGAATCCCTCGCCTCGATTCGTGGAGCTCTGATCCGAACGGCTCGAGTATGGAAGGAGGAACTCGCTTTAGATCATCGCGGCGATTCACCCGGCGGAAACACCCCTGGACCTATCCCCTCCTCTTTCAACCCTTTCTATGATATCGCTAACGCTGGACGACGAATCTAACGGAGCAACCTCCCCCAATCTCCCTTAACCTCCCCCAATCTCCCTCAACCTCCTCCAATCTCGCTCAACCTCCCCCAATCTCTCCCAACCTCCACTAACGGTTCGTTTTCACGTTTTCCTTCGAGAAAGAATTGCGTTAAGAATTAATGTTTGTTTCACGCTCGGACGTTTCGAGATCTTGCATCCTGATACATCTGGATGTTATATCTGGTGTGTGAAAACTGGGGATGAGATAGGGGAGAAGGTTGATTCGAACACGACGGAAGGAATACATTCACGGATAATCGGAAGGGCTGTCGCCGAGCGAGAAAAGTTTCTACTTCGTAGGACTGTACGATCGTCGAAGCGTTTCCGTTAATGTGCTCGTTGTAACAACAGAGAGATCGAAAGATAGAAAAGGATATATACACACACACACGCATATACATATATATATATATATATATATACATATATATATATATATATATATATATATATATATACCGAAAGAAAACACAGAAAACGCAGGATTAGCGTCTGTAAAAAAGAAACGGATTCGTCGTCGTTACGTAGAAATGTCGCTCGGAGACCAGAGCGAAAAATAATATTTAATCGGTAGAAAGACTCGGGCGCAGTCATCCACCATGCGAGTCCAGTCCTTTCTTTTTCTCCCTCTTTACCTCTCTCTCTCTCCCTCTCTCTCTTTCTCTCTTTTTATCTCTATCTTCCTCTCTTTTACCCGCGATCCCTTATGCCGCTCTTGGCAACTGGATTTTTTAATTTTTAATTGGGAAAAACGTCGTCGAGGTGGTCGACGAGATTCACTGACCCTGTCGTAGAATACGACGTAACGTAATAGTACTACTGCGTTCTCACGCGTTTCCGGTATCGCCTATGTACGATTCCTCACGATTCGAAGAGAACGGATTACCTCTTTTCGAGAGTTACTCTCTCTCTCTCTTTCTCTCTCTTTCTCTTTCAAACTGACAAAACTTCTCCATCCTACGATCAATTGTTCTTACTTGTTTTAAGAATGACGATACTAAATAAACGCGAAGGAGATTATGATCAGTTCTTATTCGGACAATATCAATTTGTTCCGTTTGAAAAATATAGATCTCGAGTAGATAAATATAGAGTTTAATTGTTAATATTAAATCGCGAGTAATCGTGATTATGTTATAAATATGCTCGGACCATGTTCTCCGAGGCAATTCGGTCGAGATCCGATATAGAGTCGTTCGTCCGAAGAGCAAACGATCGCAACAGCTGTTCCCTCGACCGAACACGCTAAGGGAGTATTTTTAAAAGGTCTCTGAAAACTAACGTCGACCCTTCTCAACTTGGACGGGTCTTTACTACTTATTAAATCATTTTCGCACTGAAATCATTTCTTCCGTTACCGCTAATTTTCTTGATTTTATCGAAATTTTCCCTTTACGATTTTAAACGCCTCTTCTATTCATAAACCCGATAAAGTCTATCACGCGTTATCATCCACGTCTTCTTCCTTTTCTTCTTTCTTTTTTTCTTTTTTTTCTCTTTTTTTTTTTTAAACTATGCACGTCAATCGGTCTACCTTTTATCAGACCTGTCTGACCCATCCTGATTCGGCTAGTCAAAACGTCAGAATCTTAAAAGACGACAAACATTCGGAAATAACGATCCGAGGTAGTAGGTACTAGCCCCTTTGCGCTTGGCTCGCCAGCAAACAGGGGAGTTTTTAACGCTGCATGATCCAAGAGCAAACTTAGGGAGAACGCGAATGTTACGTCTGGTGTGCAAATTCTTGTCGGCTTTTGCGAATAAATGTTGGATGTAGAGCTATCGTGAAGCCAGATATAAGAGAGAGAGAGAGAGAGAGAGAGAGAGAGAGAGAGAGAGAGAGAGAGAGAGAGAGAGAGAGAGAGAGAAGAGAAATAAACAAATTTAATATTCAAATAAACGATATTAAAAAATAGAATTAAATGTGATAAATGAAAATAAGCTTTTCAACGTTCGTAAAAATCTCGTCATCGTTGTCCTCGCCGTTGAATTCGCGCCGAATGAATTACAATTTTGCTAGACGTACACGTAGTTGGAGGGCAATAGACCTCAAGAGGGAGGATCGTTCTTCCAGCGAGTTACACATAATGCCTCATAAACACCCTCAAAATGCCTGGCATCACCCTCGATTCGTGTTGCCGGCGCCCTCGCGGACTTGACACCATACGGCTTGGCAATAAACTTTCCTCTCGTTGCTTTGCCTTCCGTTTAAACGTCATCTTTCATTTGCAAATAATTTTCTTTTCTATTTCCTTTTTTCTCTCTTTTCTTTTTCTCTTGTTTTTTTTTTATTTTCTTTCTTTTTTCTTTTTTTAGATAAATAGATATCCAACGAACGTTAAACGTTATTGAATCTACAGTTGGTATTATATCTTTTCTTTTCTTTTCTTTTTTTCTTTTTTTGTGTTTCTCTCTTTTGGCAAGTTCTCATACTCGTTTGTTGGAAGTCAAAGACCACTCGAATATTTTGCTTGGCGACGGTGGTAAGCCGGTTAAATGTCGTGGTTCACCATAAAAACCAACTCGTTTACCAAGCTGGTCTCGGCACCATAAAATAAAACTACCCCCGGAAGCGTGCATATACTCGTACGCTCGAGCTTGGCAACTCCATTATAAGCTGTACTACTTGACTCAGTAACGGTAGGAAAACCTGCCGAGCTTCCTGTTTCATTGCTCTAAACCATACACGATGTTAGCGTGAGCGAGTACTTTGTTTGCTTTTGTGGAAACAAATCTTTTTTTCTCTCTCTCTCTCTCTCTTTCTCTCTCTCTCTCTTCTATCCCTCGTAAACTTTTTTCCTAGTTGTTCATGTAGAACTTAATGCTTGTATATATATACATATATGTATGTGTGTTTGTTTGTGTGTGTGTGTATGTGTATATATGTGTGCGTACGTTACAACATAGATTTGACGTTGTTCGAATTTTTTTTTTTTGGATAACATCGTATATGACGATCAGTGTCATTTCTGATGGTAACGTTTAATGCTCGACGACATTAACATATCCAGAACGATTCGGTGGAGAAGGGTGGTCGAATGTCGACACGGTGGCGCCACTCGTTCACCCCTTACTTCCGGCACATTTGTGTTTTGTTTCCAACGAGCGAATTGCATCGCCCTTCCGCCCTTTTCCGGGCGTCATCGGACGCGTTTTCCGTGATAGCGATAGGGAGACGATAAAAAATACCCTTTCGAGTATCGAGAATCCTTCACAGAAGAATAGAAAGAATGAAGGAAGGTACGACGTGAATGTGATTTCTTAAAAAATTAACGGGACTGTTAGGTGAGAGATAGTAATTTCGTGGCCGGTAGAATGAAACCTAAATAATGAAAGAATGTGGAAAACGAGAAAACCAAAAGATTGCTTGTTCTTTTACTCTTATGACTTTTAATGTCCCATATATTATGAGATAAAATTTTCCTGAGAATTCCGTGGAAACGATCCGTTTTTCTTTTCCCCGTTTACCACCAAGCGATAATTATTTAATTCCGACTCATCGGTCCTTCATCTTTGCTCTTTCCTTCTTTATTTCCTTTTCTTTTTTCAGGGAAGAGCTTTACCCTGACCATCATGTTGCAAACAACGCCACCTCAGGTAGCCACCTTATCGAAAGCGATCAAGGTCACCGTGGATGGTCCCAGAGAACCAAGGTCTAAGACAAGTGAGTCGTTCGACTTTACCTACCGTAGGCAATCCAATCTTATTACTATACAATAATGTTAAAGTTGAGTTAATTTCTTTATGTAAAATTTCTTTAGGTAATAGCCTTTAAAAAATGAAAATTAATGATAAGGGAGGATCGGGACTAATTTTATTCGTATCACGTTTCAGGGCACCAAGCTTTTCATCCATTTCACTTCGGACCTCGACCGTTCCCATTCGGACACCCACAGGATCCATTGGGATTCAAGCTGTCCGGTAAGTGGGTGTTCTCTAATCGAAGCCACGCGTTCCTTCGTCCCGTTACTCGGAGTTTCAGCGTGTCTCGTACTTGCCCCCGGTCTCTATCACCTTCTCGGCCATTCAGAATTCCTCCTTGTCGATGGATAACTAAGTTTGCACCCTCTCGCGAGCCGAGCGAAGGCAGGATCCTCGCTTTCATCCTTCTACGACAGCAGACTCCGTTTCTCCTCATCCCAATATCCCATCGTACCCCACCCTCATCCGTCTTCCTACTTGCCCGACTTCGTGGCTAGGAAGGGTGTCAAAATTGAGCGTCGGCAGGCACAGACTCAAAATTGAGTTTTGCTACGGGCGCCTAAGTGGAGAAGACTCTGATTAAGCTCCCGACGCTAGCGGCGAACTCTGCCTTTTCCTTTCAATCGGTTTAAACTCGACATCATGTATCCATCGAGAGTTTCTATTCTCGTCAACTATTTTTATTTTATTTCTTCTCTCTATTTTTTTCTTTTTCTTTCTTTTTTCCTTCCTTCTCCCCCTCCCCCTCAAATTCATACGATGATCCTGACTCGACTCTCACATCAGCTACATCAAAGTCCATTGCCAATTCTCGATTCCAGAAAATCCTTAATTTTCCATTAAGCGCGTCGACCCCGTTCGAAATCAGATCGCATTCCCTTCCCACGAAGCTCTCTCGTGATTAACTATACGATATCGCAAATGCGCAATGTTTTTTGAACTGCAGCTGCTTCGACAGGGCAAGCCCGAAAGCTCGAATTCCATTGAAACTCGTTCGGAGCTCGAAATTTTGATGGGACTAGCCTCGAGCACCGAGGGTCGGGTACTGATACTGGTGCACCGACAGTGTATTGTTTCGGCATGATAAGCGGCTTAACGGAGCTTCGCTCCCTTCTGCCCTCGAGGGTAGTGCGGCGGGGGAGGTTAGCCCGTCCTGCCGTCGATTTCTCGCCAACCATTCCGCTACCTCTTCCCCGGCCAATCCCTCCTCCTCTCTCTTTCTCTCTCTCTCTCTCTCTCTCTCTCTCTCTCTCTTTTCACCAACATATATAACTGTTCTACTCAATCAAGGACCGAGCACTGCCGCACCCGATTCCTCTAAAACTTCAATTTACCCTCGGACCGTTTCATTGTAATTTTAACCAATAAGAAAAGGTCACGTCCGTCGAACTGTTCGTTCTACTCTCAACGTTTATTAGTTATTAAGGTATAGCACAAATAGCAACGTATCCATCCAGTATACGACAAAGAAGACAATCGAACAATGTCAATAAGGAAAAACTTCTATTTAGAGAATTCTTTGGATTAGATATTAATTTATGGTATTTTTTTTGGATAAAATGGCTTAACAAAGTTTTTTCAATCGGTCGGATTAATTGGGTCAATAATACTGTATTTGAGGCAGACGATGGAAATGGACAGCAAAATAAAGGGAATATCGATCGGTTTATTTCGAGTAGTAACCGCCAGATTTTTCAACCCTTTCGTTCCTAGTTCGTCCGTTCCTACATAGATTGCGCCTCCGTCCAGTCTGACGGCCGGTCATCGTGGTACCTTCTAAGTGCGGAAGTCAAGGGTGTATCGCTGGCTGGGTAAGGACGCATTTCAAGGGCTGGTTTATTAGATATTGGAGGTTGAAAGAGAAGTGGTAAGGGTAAATAAGAGGACGATTGACGTGTGGAAGTAAGAGAGTAGAGAAAGAGAGAAAATGAAAGAGAAGCTAGCCATATCGGTGTTGTTAAGGTGCCCATTGAGGTGTAACTAGGGGGATGTTATTAAATTTCGTTCGGCTTACCCCGACAGAAGGGGCGAATTTTACGCGTTTCTCGAACACTCAGAAAGATTTTTCTGAGTCCGACAAATATCTTTCCAAGAGACTTTTCTTCTTCTTTTAATTTTCCCTTATTGTGTTAGATGAATGCAACTTCGATAAATTTAAGTAACAAAGTTTCATTATTACTTTTTATTACTTTTACTCATTTTATAAGATAGAAATTCGAATTTTAAGTGTTCCGTAAGAAAAGCAGAAAGAGAAAGAGAGAGAGAGAGAGAGAGAGAGAGAGAGAGAGAGAGAGAAGATAGAGAGAGAGATAAAGATGAAGAAAAAGAATAATAAATGTGTTTGAAGACAGGTACCACGTGAAAAATCTCAACCGAGATTGTCCAAGAAGAAAAACATCCCGATCACGTGCCTCCCGAGAGGCCGTGCCATCGTCTTTGTCAGTCTTGCTAAGGGGATGAAAAATCGCGAGAGTCGGGATTCGAGTTAACAAGAGAAGCTAGTACGGCCCCATTCCACCCACTTTCTACCCTCCCGTGTCAATTAACCGCCTACGCTTTAGGGGGCGGAGAAAGAGCACAGGAAAAATCGCAACCCCTGTTTCAATAAGGTGGCCTTTACCTCATTTGGGGGAGATTGTTAGGAGCGCTAAGTTAAAAACTGTCGCTTCGTTCGTGGATCGCTTTGCAGTAAATTCGTGGCCTCTTTTAAAGGAGATCATTCTCTTCCTTTCTCACTATTATTTCTGTTTGCTTCTTCTACTTCTTTTACAGTTTTTTCTTTTTCTTTTTGTTTCTTCCTTCCATTCTTTTTTTTTTCTTTGTTTATTATACATATTTACTCTCAAACGTCGATTTTTCTTCCTACAAGGAAAGAACGAAAACTGATTTGAAAAATATTAAACGTCATTGAAATCTTTTTTCTGTACTGAAATATTATCGATTATAATAGTGGAATAAGAATAAAAAAAAAAAAAAAAGCCGAACAATGCATTACATAATACTTTATCTGGAACACGAATGAAAGCCAACGAATCTTGATTCATGGTAAAGGTTCTCTTAAAGAGCCCTTTTCAGAGAAAACTGAGCAACCCTTCAGGAGATGCGCCAGTGAGTCCTTAAAGGGAACCTTTTTAAGGGTTGTTCCTGTCCACTCCTGTGTCGAATCACAGAAGATCCTTTAAATTCGCGTCACATTTCACCCCCAGGAGTCTTCGGAAGGCGTCCCTCGACTGGGTATCCCGTCTTTTAATCAGGTCCGGTGACCGGGTCCTTTCTCTGGAAGCGACGGTAACTAATGACACTCCTCTGCTATTCACCTCCTTCCTCTTGTCGTCTTCTCGGTTACCATAGATATCGAAACCATCCTAAGACGCCAGTACTTCGTCCTATAAAACGAACTAGACAAGAGTTATCCTTCATTATGTTCTAAAGCATTTAGATATGAAAGATCACGTTAGTTGTTTATCATTCGTTTTTAACATTATTTTTCGTATAAATATATCTATAAAGACGAATAAATAAGTTCAGTTAAAAATTGATCGGAGGATGCACTTTTGTCTCCTTTGCCATCATTAGAAAGAAAAGTAGATTCGTGAGGAGAGAAGAAAGATAGAAAGATAGAAAGAGAGAAAGAGAGAGAGAAAAAGAGAGAGAGAGAGAAAGAGAGAGGAAGAGAGAGACAGACAGATAGACAGACAGAAAGAGAGAAAAAGAGAGAGAGAGAGAGTGTGAATGAGTGAGACAGCAATTTTCTCGTCCTTTCTGGAAATATCTGTTGGTAGAGCTCAGATCGGTGCCAGAGACCTTTCTAGGGTGGCATTTTAGGGGTTGCTGCGACGCGATAATGAGAACGGGCGTAAAGGGTGGGTGTGCAAAGACATCTAACCGACGGTAGCGAGAGAAGAGGATGAGAGAGAGAGAGAGAGAGAGAGATGGAGAAAGGAGAGGGTGGTAAGAGAAGGCGAGCTTCACAAGGGTTAACGCCTTAGAAGTAAGAAGGGCGTTTTAACGCCTGTTTTGCATAGATTTGAATAGATAAGGAGGACAGGAAAATACGCGAATTAATTTATTATGTATCTACGGTGCGAAGCTCTAACGGCTTAACGATGGAACCAGAACGACCGGCTTTACTCTCTTTACTTTGGTATCCTATCTCGTTGAAAGACCAAAGGACTTAACACCTTTTAAAGGACTTCTTAAATGAAAAAGTAAATGATTAAGGGAAAAAAATATATTTGGTTATTGTCGGCGATAAATATAACTTCTGTTTTTGGTTAATCCAAGGGTCTATTTTATTGTAATATCGAGTGGTGAACACCGAAAATGGATTGAATGATATCGATTTCCAAAGTGCAAATTAATGACACATAATGAACTGCCGGAAAGCCCGCGAACGATTACACGTGACGTAACATTACCGCATCCCAAAGTGGCGCGACCAGTACCGAACACATTTTGAACACGCTACTCGATAATACGTCATCCCTTAAAGCGCGATTTCCCCATCGGTAGGCGCACGCTTTGCAAAGGCAACTAACTCTATAGCCGTAACGTTTAAGCTTAACATTTCTCACCCTTTAAAGGGTAGCGCAGCTCCTTGAACCCTTTCAAAACCCTTTCTCTCCCTCCACACCTTTCTTACCCACGCACACTCCTAGACCTCACAGGGCCCTCCTCTCATTAGTCTTCATTTGTTTTCGGAATTATCGCCCGCCGCCGCTACCACCACTACCATACACCTCTATTCCAAGAGACGAGTTACGTTGGAAAGGGTGCCAACCATTTTCGGGGGTTTATTAAATTGAAAATATGTTACAATCGCTTTGGGACTCCTTGTTTTTTGAATGTCATCAATTCAAAGTCGTCTACTTTCATGGATAAATTCTATACGTAATTATATTTGCTTGTCTTTTGTTTCTTTTTTTTTTAATCTAATATTCCCCAATATCAGTTCTAAATGTACTATTGTACTATTCTAAACGTACTATTTGAATAATCGTGAAAATAAAAAAGAAGAAAAGAACAAAGCTTCCCATTGACTTCTCTCTTGATATAGAAAAGTCTGATATTCAAAGCGGAGAATAGAAAATAGGCACCAAGGTAGAATCAAAGCCGTCCAACGTGGCGCACAGTGCCGGCAAAGCTCTTATCGTTTTCTTAATCCCCTCATAAAGTAGCGGGACTACAAGTTCCTCTCTCTCAAGCTTCTCTCGCAAGCTCCGTCGACTCCGTGCTCTGCGCGCACAACGCGCCACGGCAGTGTGGTAGAACGCGAGATAGTGGTGTCCTCTCTGGCAAGCTAGGCTTAAAGAGAGCTTAAAAATCACCCCTTCGACCCCTACCGAGCTTTTTCTATCCCCACCCGTAATACCTAGAGAATCGGTGGGAATGTTGGCTAGACCAATCAAACACGTCGCAAGCTCCCTTCGACACGCCCACCTGCCACTCGATGGACAACTCTCCCCACTACTCTGCCATCACCTTCCCCTCCTTTATATTCCCCGCCGCGCACTCCTCCTCTTCCTCCCCCGCCAAAGCGCCACGCCGCGCCGTGGCTTCGGAGCTTTCACGGAATTTTTAAACTGCCTCGCACAGATGACGGCATAATCTGCTATTGATCAAGGTCTTTCGAAAAACCGATATCGTGTCGATGACTGCCGAGGCTTACCTCGTCTCTCTCTCTCTCTCTCTCTCTCACTCTCTTTCTCTTTTGTTTTTGTTTTCTATTTTCTTTCTTTTTTCTTTCTTTTTTCTTTCTTTTTTTCCTCTTCTCCATTTTGCTTCTCCTGCTTCTTCTTCTTCTTCTTCTTTCTCTTTTATTACTTCATGCTCTACACGGATCATAGTAATTTGTTTGTAATGCTTTCTTTTCCTTCCCAAACGTACTAACGAATATTCCCATTATTAAGCGTTTTCCACGTTTCTCGTAGTTCAGAGCCTGCCAACGAATTAACCATCCGTCCAGCGTCTTTGAAGTATCGCGTTCAAACCAAACTTTTGATGTCATGAGTTTTAATTGCATTCATACACACGTCCCCCCATCGTTTCGCAATATCGGCCACGATCGAGAAAGAGACGACGAGCAATCGTTTTTCTATTCACCGCCGGAAAAATTTAACTGTCCATCCATGTCAAGCGAATGCTACTACGTCAAAGGGAAACATTCTTCTATCTCTACCTGCCACTCGATGATCGTCTGTCCATGAAAGTAGATAGCCGCGTCGTGTTCTCTGGAAAAATGAAAATAAAGTACAAAGAAAAAAAAAAGAGAGAAAGAAACAGTAAAAGAAAAAGAAAATAATATCCATCATTCCAGAGTATGCCTAGAGAATAAAAACAAGACGAGATTATTTTCATCGTAGCTTAGATCAAAATCTGTTGCATATATCTTCTTTACTTCATATAAATCTACAATTCTCATTGACAATGAGAAAAAAAAAGAAGAGGAAGGGAAAAAATAGAAGGGAAATCTTCTAATAAAATTTGATGAAAGGATTATTAACGTTTTTAGGCTTACAACATATAAATCTGGAACAAGGGGCGAGCCAAGGATGGGGTGGATTACCTAGAGGATCTTTACCACCGCATTGTCTTCCGCCACCACCTGGTCATCACGCGCACGCACATCCACCGCCGGCCGGTGGCTCGGCCTTCAACCCCTTTCATCATGCTATCGAACAGAGGTCTCCTAGACTGCCTGGTTCCAATACCGGTAAGAATGTTTCTTTGTATCTGTAATTAGTTCATTACTATAACTATTAGAATAATCGATGATAAAACGTTTGACATTTTCTTCCGTTTTGTTATTTCGTTTATTGATTGTAAAGATTCGACGAGGAACGATTTGGGTCCTATCAGTGTCTCAGTGAGAGAAGTACCACCGACAACTTCACCGGGAAATCCTGGACCAGGATTATTAACAACAGCTACCGTAGCTGCACCGACACCACCAGCCGAATCGGTTACCACTACGACCCCAAGTCCCTCAGGACATCACCCGCATTTCCAAGGTATATTCCAAATTAATATCTACCCTATTGAATAACGTAAAAACGAAGAAGGTGTTAATTTTCTCTAACTCTCCCTCCTTTTCTCTATCTCTCCCTCCTTTTCTCTCTCTCTCTCTTTCTCTCTCTCTCTCTCTCTCTATCTATCTATCTATCTATCTACCTATCTATCTTTCTCTTTCGACTCACGCAGGTCTTCATCTATTAGGAGCAACCGGATCGATCTTTGGATCGATATTCGCTCCACTGTTACCTCAATCCTCATGGCTTTACAACCCGCTTTATCACACACAACAGTACATTCTGGAACCTGAATGGCACGCGCTAGCTCTCAGAATGGCTCAACAACGATTACAGAGACCAGATCAAGCTAGACTCGAAGAACTTCGAAAGTTACGTGGTACAAGTGACAGTCCCGAAGGTAGCTCGAAAGAAGACAGGAAAACAGATCAAGAGGATCCAGATCCTTTGAATAGATCAGGGATGGATAGTCCTGATGGAAGTATAGAGGTTGATGATAGGAACGATCAAGATCGAAAGAGAGATCGGATTAGCGAGGAATCGTTTCTTGAACAGGACTCACCAAGAGTTTCACCGAGCAGAAGTGATTTAGAGGATACAACTTCGAGAGATGCGAATTCTCGGGACGTACCGATTCTTCTTCGACCTAGTATAGAAAATTTCAATGATCTTGAAATTCAAAATGATCACGAGGTATCTATTGGTAATGATTATACCGTGAAAATTCGTTTGGAAGGTACCGTCGATCTCAGTACGAAGAAGGGCCAGGACAAAGAGAACGTAGGTCAGGATTTGACCATCAGAAAGAAGGATGATAATATCGAGCCAATCAGACCGCGAAGGGAGCGAAGTCCCAAACCGAGACACGTCTGGAGACCTTATTAAAAGGGTTGACCAAACGTGCACTATCGATAAGTTTAAGACGTTTAATATGATTGGAATCGTGGAAGGAAGAGATTCCGATCGTTAGAGATAAAACGAGTGATTTCGTTACTACTGCGATATTAACGATACCAGAAATAATGTTATCGTTATCGTCGATCGAATACGATGTGATCATCGTTTTTAAAATCTATTAAGTATGAGGCGACTTTCAAGTATTTTAAATATTAATATAAGTTAAATGTAAATAATATCAACCTATCTCTTCTGCGATCGAGAATCAACAATCAAAAGAAATTTAGGAAATACTTTAAGACTTTATCGTGGAGATCACTTCGATGACTCGAGGACTAACCAGGGTTTTATGTTCGTAATAGCATGTAAATATATGTAACGTCCAATCATCATTATCGATATAGATTAGATTTTCGATTAACATTCATTAAGTCTCATTCTATCTCGTTGTTCTAATTACGATCGATCGTTCTTGCTGGACAATTTCGAATCGCAATAATTTTATTGTATTTAATAATCAACATACACGCGAGAGGATTACTTTTAAATGATATTTGTCCTGTTCGAAACGATTATCCATTATTTTACATTGCGCACGCTCGAATCATTATCACTAGGCTAGACTCTGAATTAATTAGAAAGATTGACGAATTTGATTTTATTCGATATGGGCGATGTTATCGCGAATGTTCGTGTCATTGTAAATATTAAATACTCACTTTAAAGAAAAACAAAAAAAAAAGAAAAGAAAAGAAAAAAGAAAAAAAAAGAAAAGAAAAAGAAGAAAAAAAACGAGGGTAAAAAGCCAAAAAAGAAAAGAAAATCTCAACAATGAATAAGAAACTGTATCACTCGTATTTCACAAAGTCAAAGTTCCCTTATTTTTACGGGATAATCTCTATCGATGTGTTGAAACGATAAACGAAAGCGAAAAAGTAGACCGATTACTATAGTCATAACGCGTATCAGTCACGAATTGTCTTTACATCGACATACGCGTGACATCGGCCCGAAAATGAAGAGAAACAATTCACTGTTTATCTACGTCATCAAATAAAGTAATATCATCCGTTCCATGTCTGGTCCCTTATTTGATTTTATTTATTAATCGAACACGTTATGGATTCTCAAGATCGAAGATAATAGATCATCTTTCAGGTAAGTGTGAATATAATGTAAATGTATGTCGATGCTAATAGAAAGAGGGAAAGAGAGAGAGAGAGAAAGAGAGAAAGAGAGTGAAATTGGCGTACTTCTTCAAAAAATTACGAATAACATTACGGAAATTTGTTCGACAACGCGTGCGACGTAACCGAAGCTAATCCGAGGGGGAATGAGGAAGGGACTGGGTGGGTGGTTGGATGGATGGGATGGGGTGGGGCCTCTGGGTTGAAGCAGATGCAGCGGATTCAATAATTCGCCGCGATTGCAATCGAGCGGGATGCACCGCACGCAAAAACGGGCAGGCCCGATATCCGCTTGGTGAAAAGGTCCGCGTGATTGATGGGATACAATAGTTCTCCTGGTCCAACTCTCTTTCTCTCACATACACTCTTTTCGTAGATATTTTCTCTCTCTCTCTCTCTCTCTCTCCCTCTCTCTCTTTCTGTTTCGTGCGATTCACTGAAATCGAGATAAAAAGACCGCAAAACAATTTTCTACATTATTTTCCGATGCATGCCGGATCAAATGAGCAATAATACTGACACTCTGCACATGAATCTTTTTCTGTCTCCTTCTCTCTCCTTCTCTCTCCTTCTCTCTCTCTCTCTCTCTCTCTCTCTCTCTCTCTCTATCTCTCTCTATATGTATGTATGTTTCTGATGCCTAGAATGGGAGACGTGATCCGTCGACGCACGCCACTCGTCTGTGTTTTACGTGGGACGTATGACGTACGGCCGACCGCTTTCCGCGATAGATTTGATATCCTTTCGCGCTCTGCCGTTCGATAAAATACATTTTCGATCCGTTCCGATGGCGGTCCGACTTCCGTATAGTTTTACAAAATTTGTTATAAATCTTTTTCCCTTGTATTCGAATAATGTTAAACCGTCGAGTTAAGAGACATCAATTAATGTGAATATATTAAAAGTAACGTTATGATGATTAATATATAATTTGGCTTTGAAAGTAATGAACCGTTTAGTGTCATGGATACATTATTCGCAAACTACGACACTATATATCCATTATGCAGGACAACCACATCCACGTGTTTTCCGGCAGAAGAGTCCACAGAAAGTCACTGGAACCTACCTAAAAATAAAAGAGACTGCTATCATCCTTCCTCTCTCTCTCTCTCTTTCTACCTATCTATCTGTCTATCTTTGTCTCTCTCTTTCTCTCTTGTTCTCTCGATTCTCTTTCGTCCCCAACACTTTTTCCAAATCCGTCCACGTCCCCGACCAGTCGAGTTATCGCAACAAACTACCCCAATGACGATACGATTAAAATTTCACGGGGTCGCGTGGTCCAGTCATGTTCTCTCTCTTTCCCTCTCATCGAACAAACCATCTCCGTACGATCCCTCTCACTCTCTGTCTCTCTCTCTTTCTCTCTCTATAGCAGCGTCGACTGCCACTCTGTTCTCCTCCTCCTCCTCCTTCCCCTCTTCTCTCTTCCTCTTCCTCTTCCTCTTCCTCCTCCTCTACCACCACCTCTACCTCCACCTCCATCCCTGTTGGGTGATTGGTACGTGACCGCAGCCACCCCCGCTTTTTAATACACCCGCACCTGCATATCCTACACCCGCAACCGGTGAGCTGCCGTTGCCATATATGCCAAAGGGGTGCATCCGACCCCTCTACAGCGATATCTCTCCCTCTCTTTCTCCCTTTCTCTCTCTCTCTCTCTCTCTCTTTTGCTTTCGTGTCCTTTCTCTTTCTCTCTAGCGTTTTGTATCCCTCTCTACAGCGTCAACGTCACGCTGTACGAAGTGATTCATCGATCGAACGTATTCATGTTCCTGTGTTCATCTCCCAAAATAGCGAGAAAGACTGCTTCTCTTCTTTCATCTATTTTACAATCATGTGTATAAATTGTAGAAAAATATAGAAATAATATACATATTTACGTCATCCGTCTCAGTAAAATTCTCTAAGATAGAGAAATATTTCTCTATTATTTTATTTATATTCATCTTTGAAATTTAAAAGGCTCTACTCTGTAAGGTCATTTCATTTATGTTATAAAAAACGAAATTCTATCAATAAGAATATTTTTCTCTCTATGTGAGTAAGTACTTAAGCAAGTATTCTGTCTTCTCGTAGCTCATAGTTATAAAAAAATTGTCAATAATTATGTGATTGATTTTAGTTTACATCGACTAGATAGATGGTTAATCAACTTTGTTTGATCTGAAAAAAAAAAGGAAAACGTAAGAACTTTTTAGAAGTGCATTTATATGATTAGAATGTTTCTAGTAGAAGGTTTTAACGGATGAAATCGTCCAAGTTTTTTTCGAGGTTGATAAAAACAAAGGAGAAATAGAAAAGAAGAATAGCAGGAAGGGGGTAGTTAAATAGGTTGGTAGGTAGGTTGGTAGGTAGGTAGGTAGATAGGCGTTGAAAATATCTCAGCTGTAAATAAATTATAAAAGCCGAAAAAGTTTTCCTGGCATCTCGATGTCCCGTCGTGTGTCAAGCCAAGTTCCGAATAGTCCGCGAGTCAGAGAAGGGGCGGAGAAGGGTGGAAAGTGGAAAGCGTAAATGGTGGAGGAGGAAGAGGAAGAGGAAGAGGAAGAGGAAGAGGAAGAGGAAGAGGAAGAGAAAGAGGAAGAGGAAGAAGAAGAGGAGAAAGGAGACGAAGGATAAAGAACAAGAAGAAGAGAGAAGAAGGAGGAGGAGAAGAATAGAAAGAGGAAGAGAAAAAGGTCGGAGGTATCCTTCGGTAGTTTTTGTCCTTCCTCGTTCGCACCAGTGGCACCAGTGCTATGGCGCTACTCCTCTTGACCCTCCAACAGCTTTCTCTCTCTCTCTCTCTCTCTCTCTTCCTGTCAGGGATGTTATTTTTATTTTTTGTTACCCTTCGCCAGCCGAGCACTTTAGATAATAAGGCCAGGGCGCTTGGTACGGACGAAAGGGTAAATTGGGTATTCGTCCGAGGAATTATCTCTCTAATTTCTTTAACGTACCAGTCTCTCACCTTCCGCTTCTCTTATGTACGTATAATTTTCATCGTCGCACCCCCTTCCTTCCGAGTGGATCAGGACTCTCGAAGCCCATCAACGGACACCAGGGCCAAGAGGACCTCTTGATAGTGGGCTGAGGATGAAAGGGTTTTACTTCTAAGGCAAAAGGTTTGGAAGGTCTTCTTCAGTTGATGCTTCTTTGAAGTCGAACCAACTGAACCAAAGAAACTAGGTGCGTATATTTATTTTTTTCCTTTCTTTTTTTTCCTTTCCTTTTTCCTCCGACAAATTTATTAATTTCAATGCTTCTTTTTTCTTTTCTTTCCTTTTCTTTTTTTTTCGTTTTTAATCTATTTTTTGATTTTATTTTTAATTTTATTTATATGTATCGATTAAAATCGCGTTCATAGAAACACATATTTCTCGAATAACCAATGATGGTACATTGTGATATCATTAAAAGCCACGTTCGAACTCATTGTAACAAACGATCATCGATACAAAGGTCGAGGGTCGCCCAATGTAATTCGAACAAATGATAGTTCACGACTATCGGCTGTACGAGGGTAGCCGCTCGTATACATCGGAATGGCCCTGAAATTAGATCCAACCCCTGCCGTAACTCCGTGTTCGACAAATTCGGTTAGTCCGATGAAAAATGGTATACCCTTACTTTCTTACTTTCGACCAATGTCCGTTCACGATTTTCTTGTTTCCCAAAGTTACATGTTCAAACTACCGTTTCTCTAAAAACCATTTTTTTTACCCACGAGATTCTCGAAGTTCCTTCGAGTATCGATCGTTCGAAATAAATAAATAAATAAGAAAAAAAGGACTAAAATTTCTTCCACGTGTATCATATATCATATTATGTTTACCTACGATGTTTGCTTCTGTTCTGTTCATATCCGAATGACGAGGGTTGTTTTGACGACAAAACGTATACACTACCCTCTTAAATATGAAAGAAAAAACAAGAGATCATTTTTCAAAATCAATTCAAACGAGAGGAGATCTTTGGAAAATAAGTTTCTGGAAGATAGAATTTGCAAGGTCGTGGGTTAAATCAGCAAGATGGGTTCAAGGTTTCCATTGGACCTAGAAATTGAAGAAGAAGAAAAAGAAGAAGAATATCGAAGGACTTTCACGAATATCGAATGACAATTCGAGTGTTATCGCGAGAAACGGTGAACGACCTTAATTCCATTTAGGTTCGTTTTCCGGATCGCGGAGAATGATCCGTTTGGTGTTGGACGGGGGAAAAAAAAAGAAAAAAAAAAAGAAATCGAAAAAGAGATGAGACGAGACGAGACGATAGCAAAACGGATGCTTGAATGAGTAAAAAGAAGAAGAAGAATAAGAAGAAGAAGAAGAAGAAGAAGAAAAGAAAATGGTGATGGGGTTGGTATATACCAAAAGTCGTGGCGTTCGACGCCAAAAGCGTAACTCTGCCAAAGACAATATAAAAGTTGGAAGGGTCTCGCGGGATTGGAAGTCGTAAATATCATCTGCTAAATAAAGCTTCATCCTCGAGTACAGGGCTTGAGTGGTGGTGAAAACCCCTTTGCACTCCTTAACATTCGAGGGAAGCGAAGACAAAGACTCCTAACGTCGATTGACATTAACGTATTGAAAGGACGAAATAAAAGAGGGAGGAACGACCAAACGTTCATCTATTTTATTTTTATGTTTTTCAATACGTAATGATTAGGATTTGAATGGTTCGATTTTTATAAGAGCAAAGCTCTTCCATTAATTAAACAACGATAATTAATCTGTATTTTAGACTGTGTATAAATAACAAAAAAAGAATCTTCTTTTCAAATTATGAAAGTGAAACAAAAAATGAAGAATATAAAAAGTTGTCATTCGGTTAGATTAAGAAAAAAACTTTCTAACATTACTTCTTAAATCCATGCACCTTAAAGATTCATTTTTCCGCTTG